CATTAAGAGTAGGCGTCTTAACACTAGTGTCTTGGCTAAATTCCTCTTCAGGCTAATTTAACTCAGCCTCCCTTGAGTTCCCCTTTGACGCCACTGATGAAGCAGCTTCTCTCTTCTCCGCCTGACCAGCTGCGTCATGGGACTGCTTCCATACAAATACTAGTTATAGAAATAACTTACCCACGGCAGGCGCATCATACTCCTCTCCCAGGAGGATCTCGGGCGCCGAGTAGGCCAGCGAGCCACAGCTGGTCATCAGCATGGTGCCGGGCTGGAAGTGGTTGCTGAAGCCAAAGTCAGTGAGCTTGACGGTGCCCTGCTGGCGGAAGAAGACCACGTTCTCGGGCTTGAGGTCTCGGTGGACCACGTGGAGCCGGTGGCAGTAGGAGATGGCGCGCACTATCTGGGCAAAGTGGACCTTGGCTTGGGCCTCCGAGACGCCCCCCTCGTGCCGCAGGATGTAGTCGTACATGTCCCCGCCATCCCCCAGCTCCAGGATGAGGTAGAGTTTGGTCTGGGTGTCGATGACCTCATACAGCCGCACCACATTGGGATGCTGCACCAACTTCATGCAACGTACCTCCTGCAAGAGGTGCCCGGCAGCCAAGCTGTCCAGCTTGGTCTTGTCAATGACCTTGACGGCCACCAGCTCACCAGTGAAGACGTGGCGTGCCAGCTTCACCACCGCGAAGTGCCCCTTGCCCAGCGTGCGGTCCAAGTCATACAGCCCGGCTATCTTCCCTTCGTATCCGCTCTTGGCAGACGCCATGCCCACTTGGGTTGTACTTGTGTTCACTGGGGTCTAAAGAAACAATGGCAGTTTCTCAGCGATTGTTTAAAATCCCATTGTCCACACCTGAAAAAACAGAAGGAGTAGCAGTTATGGTTGCTCTGCATTTGTTAGGTGTGACATGGCTGTACAGTTCAACTATATAGTATTTGCTCAGTAATTAAGCAGTGCTGTTGCTGAGAGTCATCAGTTGTTCCCTTTGCAACACTTCTGCACCAAGACAAAAGTTCTGCACCTGCTCTTTCTCACACATGGTGCTGCTTGACATGCTTTCTTGACAAACATGCTTACAGATTTCCAGTACACAACAAAGTGAATAGAAGAAACCAGGAAACTAAGATGCAAGAAATGATGTACATTTTTTATGTAGGGTAGAAAAGGTACATTTAACGTTCAAATGCTCTAAAGACCGACCTGTATTTCTATTTAATTTCGCCAAACAACAATGCATCTTTGCATCTTTGCAAATTTGCATTGGTTAAAAAATATGGCTGCTTGCCATCTACACTTGGAAAAGAGATATTTTTACAATTGCATTTTAACTCCCAGTTATTAGTGCACCTATTGTTTAGACTCTCAAACAGTGCCTTCAAGCAGTCAGATTGTTTCTAACAAATATATTAATATAACAGCTCCTAAGGCTAAGCAGAAAGATGGAAACTGTTTTTCACTCTGATGTCTTGACTTTTTGACAAAAAAGCTCTTCTTGGAGCTTCACGTGCTTGACTGCGCTGCTTAAGAAACTAGTTTCAGAATGCACGCACATTTACAATGCCTGTAATTTTAATATTAGTGGTTGTATCCAGGTCTGGAACTAGAAATAACGCTAGTTGCCGACACAGTTACACACTTACTAGATGGTACAGGCTGACTGACACTATGCAGGGGTCCTTTGTGGATGCTATAGGGAGATGATTTTGGAGTGGAGGGAGCTGTATTGTGCCATTCTGTTTTGGAGAAATTTTGGATTGGATTCACAATAATAACCTCAATTAGAGTCTCGGCAGTGGAAATTTAGCTGTCAGATCTTCCTGTTGAGCAGCTCTACCAAGGTGACTGCATTAGGCAGGGAAAGGTTCAAGGAAAGTGCAAGGGAGTAGGTGGAATGCTAATTAGTAAGAGATAGTGGTGACACTCAACATAAAAGACAAATCTGTTTCATATGCTGCTTCTGAAGTGTCTTCTGAATGTGCTTTCGTGCCTCTTTTCTGCTCTTTCAAAAGGCTTCTTTCTTCCTGCTGAGCACACACTGGCACAGCTGCAGAACTGCTATTTACAGTTATCCTGTTTAAAAAGAATGAAAAAAAAAGTATCAAAAGTATTCTGCAGAGCTGCTAATGACCTCAGGTATAGTGTTGTGTGAATGGGTGAACTGGCTTTTACTTTCCAACCTGCTTGAAGAAGAAGTGCACTTCTTTGAGATCCTTTCTCTATATTTTCCAGTCATTAAAGACATTGAGGTGGGACATCCATTCAGTGCTGCTGAGCCACGCAAACCTTTCAGGGATTCTGGGTTACCTTACCGGGTCAAGCTACGTTACTTTTATGTTCCCAGTTTCCCAGCTTTCTATTTAATTTCATCTGCTATCATTTAAATGTTTCTGGAGCTGAGTGCTATTGTCTTCAATGAGAGGCTCAAAAGACAACCAAACTGAAGAAGGACAACTTCAACTTCAAAGGAATAACTGCAATTTTAATGAGGTTTTCCAGCATACATATTTAACAGATAGGGCTGGGCTGGAAATCTCCACTGCAGGTGTCTTCTTGTTTTTAGAATTTTGGAATCCCCAATTAATTTATCTCCTTTGCAAGCCAAAGGCCAGATATTTATTCCTTATACTTTGAAAGGTTCCTGAACTTCACTGGAAGAATGGGAATCAGCAGCCACCCAGCCCCAACATTCCCACTTTCCAGAGCCATCTATCTTTTGACATGCCAAGAGCTCTACAGTACATTAGAGAAGGGTTTGTACCAATGAGGAGATCTCACTCCATGGCTCCAGGTACTCAGATGGATCCAGGAGTCACTGTTGCACTGAAAGCTGAGAGACACCTGGGTGGCTGAAGTTCACCCAACTCTGAGACACTTGGGCACCTCCACCCTGGAATACTGGCCAGCTAATGGCTGGTCTGGATAACCTATTCAGCCAGGCTTGTACCAGTGACATCTCAGCTTAAGGGCTCAAACTGTACATGCAACGGCAATGTTGTTATTTTGTTCAGGACACACAACCAGTTCAGTCGTAGAAGCACTCGGGCTGCTTTCCCTTGAACCTTCTGTTCCAAAGGCCCCATGGAGCGGAAAGAAACACAAAGCCAGTCCAGTCCAGATATTTACATATCTCCCTTTGATAGCAGTGCAAAGTATATAACTGATCCCTTACAACAATCATGAGACATACAGTTAAAAGTATCATTATACTGGCAGTGGGGAGGTGTAGCTGCCATGGGACCCAACCTTCTGTTTTGCTTCATGAACAACAACATTTCAGATCTTTCCCTCCTGAAACCAAAGGGGCACAAATTTCATTAC